TTATTTATATTTAATATGATGGTTGTGATTGTTTAGTTCAACTCAAAATCCTTGCTATTTATTTTGATTCATCTATATTTTGTTACCTTTTCCCTCATTTTCTGCCTTCCTTTGGGCTGAATATTTGTAGTATTCAAGTGTATATCATTTTTGCTTTATTAGCTATATTTGTCTTTAAATTCTATACTATTCATTCTTCTAAAGTCTACCTATAAGTAATATATCACTCACTTAATGTGTAGTTTCCAACTGTACACGTCCACTTCATCTTCTCTGTACTATTTGTTGACATGAGTTTTCTTTAACTATTATAAGCCACACAATATCTGTTTATTGTTTTTGCTGTAAGTAGTCATTTATCAATGAAAGATATTTAGAAAATAAGAAACACATTTTCCATTTCTGTTGTTCTTTCTCCATTTCAATAGATCAAGATTTCCATCTGGCTTATTTTTTTATACTTGACACATTTCCATCAATATTTTTTGCAGTGCAGATATGCTGGTAATAGGCTTTTCAGTACACGTGCATTTAAAAAGTGTTCTTTTTGCCTTTGTGTTTAAGTACATGTATGGGATTACAGAATTCTTTATTGACGTTTTCCCGTTTAAGTCTTTTAAACTGTTGCTCCACCACCTTCTGAAAAGAAATCTGCTATTCTTTTAAAGATTTTCCTTTGTGTGTAATGTTGTCTTACTCTATTTTCATTTAAGGTTTTCTCTTTATCATCGGTCCTAAGCAAGAAGCTCACTTCCCTTGGTGAACTTTACTTCATATTCTTGTCCTCAAAGTTTGCTCAGATTCTTCTCTTGAAACGATTATAATTTTCATCAAATTCAGCATGTTTTGACCAGTTTTTCTTAAAAAATATTTTACGACTCCCCTCAGATAATCCAATGAAACTCATATCAGGCTACCTGAAGCCATCCCACAGTGCACCAATATCCTGCTCTGTTTGTTTTTTCAGTCTTTTATTCTCTATGTTTCATTTTTGCTAGCTACTATTATGGTCTTCAACATCATTAACCTACTCTTCTTTATGTTCAATCTTCTGCTGACATATTTTTTCTTATATATTGTATTTCTATATTTAGAGGCTTATTTGTTTTTGCAGATTATATGCAAACGCTGTAGTGGTCATACCTATGTTTTCTTCTACCATTTGAATATTTGCAATGTAGGTATAAAAACTCTTTTAATGTATTTGCATAGTAATTATTTCATTTATGTTAATTATACAACTTCTTTTGATAGCTTTTTGCGTCCTTTTCAGGGTGTAGTTTCTTGCTTTCCATGCTTCATAATGTTTTACTGAACAATAGCCAATGCAAATTTGCATTTACTGAATTTTAGGTACATTTGTATGGATGTAAATATCCTTGATATTTATTCTGATATCATGTTAAGTTACTTGGAAACCATTTTATTCTTCTGGGGTTTTATTTTAAGCTTTGGCATGTGAAATCAGAGCAGCCTTTAATCTTGAGATGATTTGGCCATACCACAGGCCCTAGCCTTGCCTTCTCAGAGCCCTAACTTATGCCTCATGCCCATGTGTTACAAGGTTTTCCACTCTGGTCAGCCAAAATACAAATTTTTTTACAAACCTCTTGTAAAACCCAGTTTTCCAAGTGTTCTTTTTTTTTTTTTTCTCAGCCTTGGATAGTTTCCCTGTATGCATGATCTGGGAAATTCTTACCTGAAAACTTTAGGAAAACCCTGGGTAGATTTTTGGATTTCTTCACCTCCCTCCTCTCTCCCTTTCTCCTTCCTCCTCCTCCGTTTTCCTCCATCTCTCTCTCTCTCTCTCTCTCTCTCTCTCTCTCTTCCATAAAGGTCTATCTTCTTCTCTGTCCTAATATTATAGCCACTTTGACCTCTCCAATTTCTTTCAACTCTTTCTCATCAATTCAATTGAAGAAGTCCACCAGCCTCCATTTGGGTTCCCTCTCCCTGCACTGCAGCCTGGAAATTCACTCCAGAGAGTAGGCACCTGCAATTCTAACCCACATTGTTTCTTTTCTTTTAAGGATCTTTATCTTGTGCTATATTCATTTAATTTTTGAAAAATATTAGAGAATATTGGTTCATTTCATGGCTTTTCTTTAGGATGAGAAAATAAATCTGATCCTTATTAGTTCATTTGAGCCAAAAACGAAAGTACCCACTCCTATTTTTCACAGGCACTCAAATTCTACATATCTCCAACTGAACTGATTTCCATGTGCTGCTTCTTCCTTCATTGTTCCAAACACAGCTCCAGAAATAACAAAGAAACACAGAAGTTTCTCCTCCAGTGTTTCCTTATTTTAGAAAATATTGCTGTCCTTGAGAACATAATGTTAAGTGAAATAAATCAGACACACAATGTTAAATATTGCAGTTTCTCTTGTATGTGAATAACAAAAATATAAAGAGCAAAATAAAAAGACAGATAATAGGAAGTAAGGAGATAGATCTTTTTCAAATAGACAGGGGATCAAGAGGTGGGGGGAGTGAACAAGGAGAGGAGGGGAAGGGGATTAAAAATAATTGAGATGGGCTGGGGATTTAGCTCAGCAGTTTGGTGGCCTGCCTTGCAAGTGTAAGGACCCGAGTTCAATCCCCAGTACAAAAAAAAAAATTTATAAAAAAAAATTGAGATGAATTATGTACCTATACCAATTCCACATGAGGAATATAACCATTATGTAATGCAAACATGTGCTAGTAAAAAATAAAAACTGAAAAGTAATTAGCATCATTCAATCACACAAGCCAGGAACTAGAAATTATCTTTTTCTCCTTCCCTCGTAAACTAACTAGTCACTGAATTCTCTCCCTTCCAAGTCACCATCTTCATCCAGCAAGCTTGCAATTGATCTGCGATGGATCACTTCCTCCAATACCGCCCTCCTCTAATCCATTATTGATATCAAAGTAACCATCATATAGACTTTCTCCAAAAATAAAAACCAAAATGTAACATGTAACATTTACTTTACCTATTGTACCTATTGTAGTGGTATGGGTGAAGTAATTTCAAAACTGTTTTAAATATAGTGTAGTATTTCCCAAATATGTCAACAAAAAAAGTGCTGTGGGGGCTGGAATTAGTCGTATCAACACAAGCTCAGTATACATATCCATATGCATGCACATGTACAAGTGTGTGTAAATAGCATACATATGTATGTGCACACATGCATGTGTCTGATATTTTCTAAGTTCTGTCCACTGAGAGGCCACAATGACAACACCTAATACCCAGAAGTTCTATTCCAAACATAATCTTCTGCAAAAAGATTCCATTTCTTGGGAAAATGGCTGATTGCCAGGCCAAAGCAGGGAAAGTACAAAATAAATCTAGATTGCCCTGTCATGACATATATTAAAAGGGTGCTCAAAAAATGAGGCAAACATATCAAAAGGAAATGGAAGCCAAATTGAATAGGCTCCTACTGCACAAATACGGGAAAATTTGAGTGAAACTTTTAATGAAAGTGAATAACGACATTGTTTTATAATCCACTGAATAAAATAGGAGTGCATTGATACTGACAATTAGCTAATTAATTAAAGAGAAAGAAAGATTATTGCTTACAATAGAATGCCATCTAATAAATGTAGAGGAATAACACACTTAGAAAATCATCAGTTTTATAGCTGTAATTGTTATTGTTCATGCAAGAATAACCAACAGTTGCTAAAAGTATTGAGTACAAGTTGAAAGAGGGACAGAATAGTCTCAAAGTATATCTCCACTAATTACTTTTTTTTTGTACCAGGGATAAAACTTGGACCCTTGCACTTGCGAGGCAGGAGGCGCAACCTCTGAGCTAAATCCCCAGCCCCACTAATTACTTTTTAATTATAACTTTAAAATAGTTTAGAGTAGATAACCTGGTGGACATCAAAAGTATCATTGCCAATAATGGAGCAAATAGATACGCCCTGAAGGGGGAAAAAACAATTAACTCCTGGGGGGTTAGCTAAAAAATGAACGAGGAAGATCTGACTGACATCATGAAAGAAAAGAATGATGAACAATTATATCACATTATAGGTTAAAAAGACACTGCAATAAATGTAATACATAGTCCTGGATTGAATCCTAAATCAAGAAAAATTGTTATAAAGTGCACTTCCGAGATAATTAGAAAATTTGAAATATGCAAAAATAAGTGTGTTAGATTCCATTTGCTGAGTTTGTAACTGCGCTGTAGTTTTATAAAATGATTTCTTTCTTCTAAGGCAATTCGCACTGAACTATTTAGGGACAGGGAGGCATGATATGTACAAGTAATTCTCAAATGGTTTTGAAAAAAGTTAAATACACACACGCTTGTATACACAGCCTATGGCATGTTGCAATGCATTGATTTCATTATGATCATACTGCTGATGGTACTGAACTGCTGATCAACTCAATTCCCACCTCACCCATGAACTGCTCATCTTTAGAATACTCTGCCGACTGCCTCAGTGTCTTGGAAACCATGCTCCCCACCTGATTCTGGGACCCACTTGTCATCCAGGCAGGGATTGGTATTTGTTACCAGAAATTGGTTTGCTTACGCTTAGATACATACAACTCCACACGCATTGGCCTAAGTAAAACTCAGAACCTACCAAAATCACACCAGAGTGATCACATACTGAAATGAAGGACTCGAACTAATTTCTAATGCTCAGGGGAAAGAAATGAGCTTTACGCTAACCTTGCTCGGCAGACTACTGAAGGCAAAGTATGATTCATTTTAGCTGACAACAGCCAAGAAGAGGATCTTGCCCAAGTTTGATTTTTATTAGTATATGCTTGCAGTACACAATGATTACACTTATTCTAGGAGCTTGGTACCTGCATATAAGGCATCTTAATTCTTTTTATGTCCCCTTTCCACTCTGCCCCCCCTCTTTATCTCTTTCCCATTTGTTGTTTCCTATTATCTATCTTTTATTCTGCTCTTTGACTTATATTTGGGATTTCCCCAAGAGAGAATCTTCAAAGAATCACTGACCTCCAAGTCCAGGTCGCAGCCGGTTGTCATAGCCATCCAGAAGGCGATCCAAGATCCGGGTGAAGATAGTGATGTTGTCAGTGCTGTCTTCAGGAATATTTGGATGCTTAGGAGACAGACTGGTGTAATGCAAGGAAAAGAAAGTGAAATAACAGTTTATAATAGGAAAGAACTAAGTCTAAACAAAAAGATTTCAATCAATAGACAAGAGCGATTAAGTAGCCTTATATCTTAACCAAAACAGCAGCAGCTCCTATTTGTCACAGTGATCACTTTTGGAGGGAGTCATAAGCAGTACTCGATTTCTTACTCCAGCATGAGCATGAGGTTTACAGAATACGTTCCAGCTACTTTCCAACCAAAGAGATATACAAACAGAAATCCTGGAACAGAATGTTGCTGGGAACAGCACGTGGCTTGCAGTTGATTCATGAAATTTTGTCGCATGAATGAACAGGCGTCAAAAAAGAGAACTTTATACTGAGACTTACCTTCATCTTATCCAGAGAAACACAAGCTCATAAAATAACAGAATCCAATAAAGCCACAAATTTCATCAAAGTCTACCTTGTCACTCACCTTCTAGAGATGAGGCAACCAAGCCATAATAAGACACCAAGTGTTAACACTACCAGGACTCTGCTTGTGTAGTGTCTCTCAGCTGCTTGTCCAACTTGGGTGCATTCTGAAGGCCTTTCTGATGTCCATGTACTTTACTAACCACATAATCAGGCCCAGATCCTGTGACTGATAATTTAACCTTTTGAGGAGTTTGGAGTAGCTAGACAGAACAACACATTTTTTTTAGAGTCTCTGGATAATTTAGGGGGCAAGGGGGATAAAGTGAAGCAAATGGCTATTCCCAAAGGTAAAAAATTATGGTAAGGAATCAAGACGTGGACCAAGAGCTAGAAATCCTGGGTCCTATTGTACCCTATATTTCTTATTTGACACAGACTGTTGAGCAAATTGTAGTGGTAAATGTCTGTGGGTCTCAGATCTCCCTACTCTTAACTTGGACCCAAAAGGTTGACTTTAATAAACATATAATAACTACTTCTAGTGTGTAGTTAATCAGGGTTATAAAGACACCAGTTAAGAAGTCCTGAAGGAAAGTCAATATGACCACATTTATCTCTAGCAGTGAGCAAGGTTCCTGTTCTAAAAAGGCCCTGAGGAAGATATATGGAATAGCAGAACCATCTGAGATGGATAGTTTTCACAAAGTGAAAACCTAGCATATCACTTGAACAAGTTCCTTAATTCATAAACATAATTTAATTCACTTAATTGTCCAATGTATTTTATTAAGTACTACATGACTATTACTATTCTAAATGTGTGATAGGGTAGAAAGCAAAATAAAGTAAGCCAAACAAGAAACCCTTTCCTTGCTTAATTTACAGGATGGTTGAGATGGTTATAAACTACACATGGAGAATGAGATGTTAGAGAGTATGAAGATATGCATTTGGGTTTATTATGTGACCTTAGGCAAATCAGAAAACACCTCTAGTAATTGCTTTATCGATTAAAATAATTTGACAGATATGTCATATTAAAATTAAAGAATATAATGTACCACAACTGCCAGGATTTGTGTTTCATGTTGAGAACTATTCAAAGATTGTTTTATCATTTTGAAAATAGTACTGTATGGGTTCAAATACAAATATTAACGGTGAAAAGCTGGCTTCTCCATGAGCCAAAAGCCATAAGGAGGACTCCAGCCAGAGAGCCACCAGGGCCTACTTAAGAGCAGGATAGATCACCAAGAGTGGTACAGACACTTCACTGGGAATGGGGAAGAAAAAAGGGATCCAGGTGTACAGAAAAACAATGACATGTGTTGACTGGAGAAACACAGAAACTTTGTCAGGGAGCCATCTGAGTTCTGGATCCACCTGATATCAGCTGCAAGAACACTGATTTTATGAAAATCTCTTTTTCATTATCTCTTGTCTCCCACTGTAATAAATCTTGACCATGATTAGTTCATTTCTGAGAAAGGTCTCTGAATTGAATGAGCAATCCTTTATTGGATTACTATAAATAAATAGAACAGAAAATCCTCACAGAGAATAGGCAAAGTATGAAGGGTTTCAAAGACTTTCTATTACAGGTGGATTATGCTAAAGCCCCTAAATATATGGCTTTTAATCTTAGTGGGAAAGCTAAAAGTTGGGTCAAACTGTTTTTGTTTTTTTTGTTGTTGTTGGTTTTTTTGTTATTGTTTTTGTTTTTGCATTCAGAACCAGCAATGGCCCAGGCAAAGCTCAAACTGCCTGCCAGTACTCTTAATTTTCTTTATTTTTTTGTTTTTATTGAGGCTATTGGTACAATCTAGGTATACAATACAGTTAAATTCATTATTGGGATCCTGTACATGACAGGTCTTGGTTCTCACTTTTTCCCCTTGTCCCTACCCTCCCTTCACCCTCTCCTCCCCTCCTCCCCTCCCAATTTACAAACACTTCATTTCCATTTCTTCATTTTCTCATATTTGTTTCTTTTCCCTTATTCCCTTTCCCCTACCCTTCCCACTAAATATAAGGATGATATATCATGCCACCCCTGGAATAATGGCTTCCAGGACAATGCATTTCTATCTCCTGCTGACTGTTGATATGTTAGCAACATTAGTAACTTGGTCACCAATAGATCTCAAACTTTGAAGTAAAAAAAAAAAAATCAACAGTAAATATTACTCTCAATTTTTTTCTCTATTATTTTACACTTGAGTACTAAAACATTTGCTCCTGATGCACAATGAATTACTAGAACTCAAATCAGAACTCTTGCTTCTTCAGAAACCTGAACCACAACAAGATGCTGTGGTTTGTGCCAATTCAGAGGTAGTTTGAGAAAAAAGAAGAATTGTAGTGTGTCCAGATTATTGAAGTGCTTAAAGATCCTATAATTCTTTCCCCTCATTTTATAGAAAAGACAACTAAGCTGTTAAGAGGAAGGAACTATTCAAAGTCACATGCTTATTATGTTGATGAAATTGATTTGGTGGTCTTGCCTACTGTCACTCCTGGTTGGATTGAATATGACAATAATCCCTCATTAATGAACAAAAATGATGTCACTAATACACTATCTGTCAATCAGATAGTTTAGTTTTCCAGTCTTCAAGCTGTATTAGTAGTAACTTCACAGGACTGGAGTGAAATGCCTAGTGTTCCGGCTCTGCCAATTTATTGAAGGACCTATTTGCTCCCGTGTAAAATAGGGATGCTAATACTTTACTTCAGAATGGTATTGAAAGAAGCAATAAGATAATAAATTTTAAAATTGCTTCATAAGCGAAGGCTGTTCCTTAAATTTTCCCCCACAGTCCTGAAAATGCAATGTGAAACCTTTGAAAGACAGGCATTTCAAGCAATGAGACAAAGTCAGGCTTGTTGACAATGTAGAGATTAAGTACAAGCTGTTAGCAGTAAGCACATTAGCTCAACTTCATCAAAGACCCTGGTGTGCTTATGTTAAGGGAAAGAAAGCTGCAAAGGCCCAGCTGCAGAGCTGCTGGTACAGCTCACATGACAATCTGAAGAGAAGAAAAATTTGCTTCATTAAAAGGAAGGCATTTCCTTTAATGCTGCATATATCCTGGGGGAGAATAGATTTTTTTCAAACAATGAAAATTCTAAATTACTGCCAGATTACATCTCTGCACTGCTCCCAAGTCCTTCATAACTCTTCATAGCTTACCAAATAAAATTTTAACTCCTTAGCCTGACATCCATGGCCTTCTGCAATCTGTTGCCAATATACTTTAACAGCTGTAAATCCCACTATTTTGCTTTAGGACCAGAAATCACAGCCAAATCAGATTACTCACCATTTCCTAATATCTCTCATGTTTTCATTTTCCTAGCCCAATCTTTCCCGTAAGCAGAAAGGTCTAACTAAAAATCTCAACACTAAGGATGCTGGTTATATTTTGGGGAGGGAATGAGAAACACCTGCTGCCCAATAGCACACATTCCAATGTCTTTACAGAAACCACTGGAAGATAAAAAATAAACAAAAGGATTTTTGACAGAATATGCTTATCCATCTCAAAAAGACAGCTGCTCTTTTCTTAAAAAAGCTTCTTCAGACTGTTGGTAAAAATAGGGAAGTATTGGCTTGAGATACATGTGCCCTACCTGTTCCAGTTAACTCCATTTGATGAGTTAACATAAAACAAAGACCAAGTCCTTCAGGACTTTTCAAGAACTTAAAGGCATTGATTCATACACACACACACAAAAATACAAAGAAACATTTAACTAATACATGCTGAGAATGAGAAAATAACCTACTAGGCCTTCAACAGACATTTCATTTATGTACATAAACAGACAGACTCTAACCTGGAAGGTACTATTGAAAAATATGGTGAATGTTGAAAATTTGAAAGAATTTATTAGAGCAAATGACACACTGCTGTTATTCCCCATCAAAATGCTCCTCCTCATTTGAACACATTTATCACATCATTCTTGTCGCTTCCCGAGCATTTCGGCAAGTTCTCTTTTGCAATTGTCTTTAGTTGTGCTGACACAGCTATTTCAATGTCTTCCCTGAATCATTTCAAAATGGTTACCTTTCATGGTCATTGTGACCTGAGAGACAGCCAGAAGTCATTTGGCTCCAGACCTACTGGATAAGATGGATGAGGACACCTGTAATGTTTTTATGAGCCAGGCTTTCTGTTGGAGAGCACTCAGCGACAGCATTTACCATGTTTTTGATCTGTAAAGATATTCACAGAAGTGGACTTAAAAGAGCTGACTCAGAAAGTGGAAAGATCGCTTCTCGACCCTTTGGCTAAGATCAAGTGCAGAAAGTGATAAGAATGGTGAGGTATGTGTACTCAAGTCAAGGGGAAATGTTTTGAGGGAAATTCATGGTAGTGTCTTTCTAATACATTTTTTAAATTTAGGCATTCACAGTATATTTTGATCACCCCACAGAAAATGGCTCATGATTCAAAGTATGCAAAGTAGGCATGCTTTCCAGGCAAGACCACACAAGACTATGTGTCATGGCTCATCTGAATGACAGTAAGGAAAGCACCAGTGCACAAGCCCTATTTCAGCAACACGTCTGGTAAGTGGACTTTCACGGG